ATTTGTTGTCCTGCGAATAGAGTCCATGTTTTTCCCTTTTAGAGTCTCAGGATGTATCAAAAAACTCTTTGAAACTTCAAACTCACTGTTCTATGCTGTTTATGTAATTTAAAAAATATGCTAACCCGTTTCCTCGATAACTCAATGTTTCTGACACGTTAGTCTTCGTTTTTAGTTCTTAATGTGTTTTCTTGACAGAAATTAGTTTTAATGGGATCTTGTGATGGTTTTTCTCGATGCTATTTTTGCGTTGAAGCTTTTGTACATCTCTCCTCAAGATCTATGGGCATAAATGTGATTGTCAGAGAGATGATTTGTAAAAGAAAAGCTGGTGTCTTCAGGCTTCATAACATTTATGATAAACATAATGGGTTCAAGATGACATTCCATGAGCATTACATTATTTGTGATGATTTTGAGCGACTGTTTTGTCCTCTGGTCATGATAATTTTTTGCTCACACTGAATATGTGTGGGTTAGTGCGCCACCTACCATTTGTTTATTGTTTTCAGGGATGATGCCCGGTCTCTTCTCGCAAAAGTTATGAAGGTCACCATTGCAGACATGATCGAGAGCATGGAAGTCCATATGACACCTTTAGTTATCGAGAACCAGATCTCTCGAGTGTTCAAACTTATTGTGAAGCTCAAGAAACATGATTTTGTTTCGTTGAAAGATTGCAAGCGTACCCTCAAAACTACCTTTATGAGGGGGTTAGAGGATGCAATTCAAAATCATGTGCATCTGCTTTCTAAAATTAGCGGCATAAAAAATTTCAAAACCAATACCCAGCATTCTGGTGCATCAGATGAATCAGATGCAGATGTTCCTGACTCCGGATCCCAATGTGAGACAGTGGGCGATGATGATGATGATGATGAAGATGGAGCTGATGATCTTGGTTCTGATGCTCAAAAAAGAAAAGAGCAAGCTACAGATGAGGTAGATTATGATGAGGACAATTCTGAAAATGATGATCACTCATCTTTGTCTTCTGAAGTAAAAAATGATGAAATGGAAGCTGGCGTAGATAAGATGGAAGAAGAAGCTAGCATGTTTGATGATGAAGCTGAAGAGAGAGAATCAAAACAGGCTAAAGCAAGACAAAAAATGACCAAATCAACAACAGCTGATGTAAAGCGGGAAATGGAATATGTTAGAAAGGAATACGACAGGGCTATCTTCAGCGCAGTGAAAGGGTCACATTTCGAAGCCCACTTCAAGCTTAAAAGTGATGATCCTCATATCTTACTAGCACAGGTATCTGCTAGCCCTTTTTAAGCTTTATTTAAATATCCTTTTTTGTGATGATTCATATTCTTCATGTTTATGCTACTTATTTGATCTGATTGCTGACTTAATTCACTAAAATGTATTCAAGAAATTAGTAGAGAATAATGATCTATTTTTTTTGTTTTGTTTTGTTGGAGAATTCAGAAGTGGGGAGGTTTTTGTCTTATCATAACCTGTTAGTCTTATATTAGAAAATAACAACTTTGGTTTAACAGTGCATGCCTATGTAACTTTTTCATCTTAAACTTCAGTCCAGCGATCTAATGTTTAGTTCTCTCCTGAATTCGTAACCTAAAGAGCTGAAACATACACAGGTGGTCCAAAAGACTGCAAAGAAAGTTTTCATAAGGAGTTCTGGGAAGATCCACCAGTGTAGAATGGTTAAATATGATGTAGATGAAAATACAGTGCTTTGGGATGCCGAGAAATCGGAGGAAGTGAAGAGGTTTCAAGAGGACAATAGCAAAGACGCCCCCCTTTATTGGGCACTGAAAGCCGGTGGAGTGGATTTTGGTGCTTTTTGGGAAATGCAGGATAAACTGGATGTGAGTAGGATATACAGCAACAACATATATGCAATGTTGAGAACATACGGGGTTGAAGCTGCCAGGGCGACCATCATCAAAGAGGTGAAGACAGTTTTCGGCATTTATGGTGTGGAGATTGATTATCGTCACTTGAGCCTGATTGCCGACTCCATGACCCAGACCGGTGGGTACCAATCTATGAGTAGACATGGAAGAATGGCTGATTCATTGTCACCATTTTTGAAGATGTCTTTCGAAACAGCATCAAAATTCATAGTTGAAGCAGCATCTCATGGGATGACTGATCATCTGGAGACACCATCTTCGAGGATTTGCATGGGCTTACCTGTCAAGGTTGGTACTGGATGCTTTGACTTGATGCAAAAGTTGGAAATCGACACACACTGAGAACTTAACTGTCACTGTTGTGCAGTCTGTACTAGTGTTTCTGATGTTTATCAATCAGATGTATACTAGTTTTTGTTTTTGTTTTTGTTTTTGTTTTTGTTTTATTTATTTATTAATTTAGATTGAAATGTAGTTTTGGTTAATTAATTACTAAGAGATGAGGTTTCTTCGTGGCTCATGAGTTATAACATTTAGCCATCGAGTGCCATAATTTTGCTTCATAATGTTATATATTTAATACTACTGTGAATAGAAACCTTCTTTTATTCATTCTGATTAGTACATTTTGAGTGTTGCACTATTCGTTTTTGTTGCTTTAAAAGTAGATTATACATGGATTCCCTAAATAAGAGTAAAATAAGGTTGTTTTTCTAGAGTTGTACAATATTTTTGCCCAGTGTATTCTTTTTAACGCCTCATAACGTCGTAATATGATATTATGATCAAATGTGTTTTGTTTAGGAAAACTAATGTGATTTTTGACTTATTTTACTTATTCTTGGAGAAAACCAAATATAGATAGAAGTTGAAGGTAGAACATCATTTTGGGACATCCCGAAAACTCGAAAAGGAAAAGTGAAACTTCTTTTCGGGTCAGAGGGAGTATTAGTTTTGGTCTAATTAGGTACCATATATATAAAATTAACTAAATTTACTAGGGAATTTTTCACAAATAGACTTAAAATAAAAATAATATCACTTTTATCACATTCTATAATATTTTTCAAATATAGGCTACTTAAAGGTTTCCTTTCAAAAATAGATCATCGCTGTTAAACACGATTAGCTTATTGGATTCTCTTCTCCTAAGGGTGTGCATGTGAGGATCGAATCACTATCCCCTCCTTCAAAAACTAATACAAGATGTAACGAGCACTAAATTTTTTATATTTAACCAGAAAACATTAAAAATTTCCAAAAAAAAAATGATACTGCTTAGAATGCAATAATATTCTAACAATTAAAATTGAATTTTAGACTAAATAAAAAACTGTAAATTTATAATAAAAAAAATCTGAAACAAGTAAATCAAAAATAAAAAAATAAAATGAACTAAAACTGTAAAGAAATCCTAAAATAAAAAATATATAGAAAAATTAAAATTACAACCATGAAAACAACATAAAAAGTTTAAAATAGTTAAAAATGGGGAAAATTTTTAAAAAATGTAAAAACTAAAAGTTTAATGAAAATGTACCATTGTATAAAATGGGCAGAAAATCATTAAAAACCTAATAATTATAAAAACATACTCCTTCCTTCCCTTAAAACTTTGTCAACTTTCATTTTTTGGATGTCCCATTAACTTTGTCACTTTCCCTTTTAAATTAAGAATTTTGTGGTTCGGGTTATTTCTCTATCCGTTGCACAAACCCCAACCACACAGTTTTTACTTTATTAATTCCCGTGTCGGTCAAACTTGACAAAATTTTAAGGGACGGATGTAGTATAAATTAAAAAAAATCAAAAATGTTAAATAATATGAGAAGTAATTAGAAGTTTTTTTAAAAAAGTAATTAATTTAGAAAATGGAAAATATGCACATAAATAATAAAATATCAAATAAATATATAAATTTTGAAAAAAATCAAAGAGTTTAAATTAAAATGGATAAAATATAAATATAAATACACAACATAAAAATATAAATACACAAAATTGATTGTAATAATCCCAACTATTGACGGTCCGCTTATAATAATCTTAACTATCGATTATCTCAGAGTAATCCCAACTTTAGTGACCTTCCGCCAATAAAAAACACAAAAAAAGATACCTGACCCGGCCCAGTCCTGGCCCGGCTCGGCCCCGGTAGAATCCCAGACTGGTTTCGGGCCTTAATTCTCAATAAAAAAGCCCAGTTCAGACCGGCCCAGAGCCCGGTCCGAAACCGATCCATGCCTAATACTGACAGTAGGAGGTTTCGTTTGTATCAAGGACCATACCCACCCAGCCACCCTAGGAATACCTGATCACGAATAGATTACGTTATACTTCGTATGTAGTTCCATTTACTTTGGAAAAGTATGTCTACACTTGGTCCATTTTTTATTCCATATTTTGTATTGAATTCAGCATATCAACCCTTTTCATTATTCTATATACCCTTTACTCCATTCTTTTCTCTAAATACTACTCCATACTAAACAATAATTTGCCATTTTCATATTTTATCAGCATTTTGTTTGTCTGACTGGTGATGGTGTTAACCAAAATTGATAATTACATAGCTAGGTTTCAGCATTTCATAAACTTTCTCTCTGATAAATATGGATAAATTTATTAATTAGAGCATTATATTTTGATGTACTACATCCACTTTAAAATGATCAATGTTTAGATCACTTCTTACTTTTCTTTAGAAGACATCTTTGTATTAGAACTCACCCCTAATTTGTGTGCGTGTGCAAGGATCAAAGTATAAACTACTTTCCCAAGTGAGATCGAAAGAGTGATAAATGGCAGAGAAACTTTTTAAGTAGGACTAACTCATAGACGAATATGTTTCAATTGGACTGAATATTTTTGATCTGGTCTAATCTTTTCTGAAATTGAGATCAATCCAATAAAATATTTGAAATATACAAATGAGATCAGTATTGTTTTCTTTCTAAATATGACTCGTTCACTCTCAATTGAAGAAAATTTATATTTTTAACAGGATTAAATGGATCCTACTCTGAAAAATAAAACAAACTATGTAATTAATCTTATAATTGGACGTTTTATCATAGTCAAATGTTTAATTGGACGTTTTTTTGAGTTGTGAGACTTCATTCACATTTTCTAAACGGCACAGGGCTTATTTGAGGCTTTCTAAAGGGCACATTTTAATGGCCGACTCCGTCATTCATATTCTTATCGCCATACATTGTCACAGTTCAATGTTCTCTTCTCCATCTTAACCTTTCACATAGGGTTTATCTTAGTCGCCCAAATCGCATCATCGTTTCTTGGTGCTTTTAAATCTCGGGACAATTCGAATAGTTTTTTCGGTAATTCTCTGAATTATAACTTGTAAGTGCACTTCTTTCAGTACCTTTATTTGATCATTTCGCTTTAAGTTGCTTTTTCTCTCTTCAATATGGAGCTCGTTGTCACAATGTCACGACTCACCGGCTGAAAAGCTCTTTTTTTCCGACTTTTAGGTTATTTCATTGCTAGGATTTTATTGTCTCTATTATTTTACGGATTAATTATCTTCATTTAAGTTCAAGTCTTATGCTTGAAGACTTCATACCTGATCGCAATTGCACGCTATTTTGTAGTGCTCATTGTCTAAGTGAAACAAGGAACTTAAAGTTCGATCTTGGTTTGGATTATTAGTTTCTTCCTTTCTTGTTTTTAGGGATTTGTGAGCAAAATGGATGAGGGTGAGCTTGAAATTTCTAACCAAGACATGTTATCAAGCCCCTGTATTGGTGATTTTCCTGAAAGCAGCTCACTGAGTAGCTTCTGGAATGATATACTCAGTGATACACATGCTTGCACTCATACTCACACATGCAATCAACCTGGGCCTGATAACTCACACACACACATGTGTTACCATGTTCACACCAAAATAGTGCCTTCTCAAAGCAAAGAAGATAGGGCACCTAGTGATGATACTGCAGAATATGCAGGCAAGAAATCAAAGAAACGGCCTGCAGGCAATCGGGAAGCGGTCCAGAAGTACAGGGAGAAGAAGAAGGAAAGGGCTGCTTCATTAGAGAATGAAGTTGTCAGGCTGAGGGCTATAAACCAGCAACTGCTGAAGAGGCTACAGGGCCAGAGATTGCTCGAAGCAGAGATTTCCAGGCTCAAGTGTTTGCTTGTTGATATTAGGGGAAGGATAGAAGGTGAGATCGGATCGTTTCCATACCAGAAACCAGTGATCACTAATCCTACCCTGCCTGGATCATATGTTATGAACCCCTGCAATATGCATTGTGATGATCAAGTTTATTGCCTCCATCCTGGCTCCGAAGGTAAAAGCTCAGAGGGTATGACATTGAACAACCAAGACATCAGTATTTGTGAGTTTGAGAGCTTGCAATGTTTTGACAGTCAATGTTCAGGTATGAAGGAGCTTTTGGCGTGTGGAGTAGATAACAGTATGTCTACTCGCCATACCTCAAGAAGGAATCATAAAAAGGTGAGTAGTAAAAGTAAGGTTTGTTGTTTCATCATAGTCATCATCATCGTCATTACCCCAGTGCCGCAAGGGCTCCTACCTATGGTGGGGTAAGGGAGGGTCGGATGTACGCAGCCTTAACCATGTACTAAAGAACATAGAGACTGTTTCCGGATGACCCATAGTGAAAATCGCGTAAAAAAATTGCATGAACTGATTGCTGCTTCAAAACATAGAAGCGCAGACAGTTTAATGAGCCATTTTGCTTTATTTCATCATATTCCCAAGCCAAAAAATAATGAGTCTTTGGCTCCATTGCAAATGATGAAATTTAAGGTTTGCTGTTTGCATGATATTTTTCCGTTTAACCAAAGCCTCACTTGAGTTTCCTACTTTTGCATTTGGGACTTTTGTGTATCCCAAATTCTCAACACTGAAAGGTTCTAGTACTTCCCCCGTCTTGAAAATGAGAATGTGTGGTTGAGATTTGGGTTGATATGAGTGAAATGATAAGAAACATACATTTCTTCCCTAAAAAGAATATATGAAGAAGATTCTTTTGGGATGGTAAACAGGAAAATAATTTGATCATAATTAAGTTCTTAATCCCAGCGAGTTGGGGTCAGTTTCATTACTAATATTATTGTCCCAATTTTGTACAAGGTTGCCTTTCCTGTCAAAACCATCTTTATAAGAAGGATAATGAGAAGAAAATTCTAAAACCACCATCATACAGATGAATTACCACAATACCACGTGCATGGAAAATACTATATTGTGAGGCGTTGATAAGTTAAGATGTTTGCTATTGATATTGTTTAACCAACATGCAAATAATATAACATGACTGACTTCTGTTACTATTTATATTTTCGGGGAAATGCCTTTGATTATTTAATCACTTTTAATAGTCTTGATTTTCCCTAATCATACCCAAAAGTGGTTATGAAAAGGAAGAAAGAGGGAAAATGGTGATGAATGTCATTAATTGTTTTTTCAATTGAATAATGATGAGGATATAAGCAGCTGCCTTGGTTCAATTGAGATATTGTTCAGGAATTTGTTCTGCTATACTAAAGGTAGATGGGATGTTTGTTAAACCAAATTAGTATGACACTCAACAATCTAACCACTATCTGAGATGCCTTCATGGAAAAGTTTTGGGTTGATGTCAATCAACTAATTGGCAGTACGGTGTAATTGAGTTTATCTGGTTTTTGTTTTTGCAAATTGCTTTTTATTTTGCATATACTGATTTTATTCTTCTTCTTCTTCTAAATTTTAATGCTCTTATGAATATATTCTTAGCCGGGATAAGTACAACAAGTGAATGAAGAATTAGATCAGATGCATTTCTGACCCTCATATATACTTCAAAAGTAAGTATTGCTAGCATCTCCTTCCTTTCTATCATTGTTTTTTTAGGGGGCTCTTATTTTCCTATCTTCTTTTAATGAGTTAAATGTTACTCATTAGGCTGTGGATCTGTGACGGGATGCGATGGTTTCATTGAACACTGGTTTTTGGGCCTTGCAGTGGTCAATGGGGTGGATGAGGCTGTGGTCCATTTATTTTTCATTTAATCTTATTCATTGATTAAAACTATTCTTTATGGTATTGTTTCTTGTCCTTGCTTCTGGAAAATATTCTTTATGAATTATAAATTCCAAAGTTCATGTATTTGTTTGTCTTAGCTTTGAACTTATTTGACAAGCTTGTCCTAGAATCTTGATCAAATCCTCATGTCTACAAATCTAGCACAAGTTTATCCACATTTTTTATATTCATAAAACACATATAATTTTCTTATCAATATTTTTATAATGTATTCCATCGGTCCAAATTAATGGTGACACTTTATTTGGGCTTGTAAATTAAGAAAAAATGTATAAAATGGCAATATGTTTTTTACCTTTAGAAAAAAATCTCCAAAAAAGGAACCATGAATTCATGGGAAGATTTTTTTGCAAGAGGAAGTTTTTATTATTTTATTCTTTTAAATAAAGCTAAACAAGTAAATTAGAACAACAAAGTTGTAGGTTTTAATAGTAAATGGAAAGGCAAACTACGAATGACATGTAGCTAGGATCATTTGTCAAAGATTATTTTTAAAGTGAATAATGTAGTGATAAAGTTGTAATTATGGAGAACTTTTATGAAAATAAAGTAATGAATGTGCATTGCTATAAAAGAAAAGCACATTCTTGTAATATCAAAGTGCATTAATGATAACTACTGAGAAGCACATTAATATCCACGACAACAAATAGCTAGAGAATAACAGTGCAAGCAATTTATTTCGGATCACGTTACAAAAAAATGTGCTATTTATAAGCAATATATAAGACTTGGGCTAGAGACTCAAAGATGATAACTACTGCGAAGGCATGTGTCCTTTGGAGACTAGGATATGCTGTTAGGAATGATATCAATCTTTAGCTATCAAACTCTGATGTCAACAAGAACGATTGTGACATGTGAGGAATACTCGGGAATGGCTACGTATAGGAAGGATTTGTAACTGGGCCGAGGCGGATAAGGTTCACTCGACCTCATTCACAAGCGTCGGTGCAACATCCTAGCATGGTGATAATCATGCTCACCCTTGTTGAGGAAGCTTAACCCATAATAGAACAAGCTCGCGAAGGAGAGTTGGGCCTGAGTATGACACTAGCCTCGACGTTTGGTTTTGGCCTACTGTTTATATGACATGCGCTTGAGTTCTAGAGTGTTTGTATCCGGACAATTGTGGTATATGACAAAATATCGCATCACATGCATTAAAAAATTATTTAGTGATAAATTTTATAGGGACCTGAACATGCATTATCTCTTACGTAAACCATATGCACTTTTACTATTGATTATTGCAAATCTAAACTCAACATATATTAATAATTATGTCACCACGATTTCTCCTTCAAAATGATATATCCCATTCATTTTAAGTGATCAAACGTCTAAATTTATTCTAACTTAGCTTTTCACAAAAATATAACTTTTCATTTGAACAATTCCCCTATATATACACAAGCATACACACATATGTACTCTCGATATTCATATATACATCCAATGTATTTTATTTCAAATCAAAAAATTATTTTTTATAAAAAAACAAGAATAAATTTAATCATGGACTTTGAGATCAAATTGAATAGAAACTGCACTGAAAAGAGCATCATTTCAATGCCCACAAGAACAAAAACGCAGACACTTGCTTCTTTCCACAGGAATGATAACTTTTTTTTATTTGAACTTCATTATATATGTATATATTTTTTCATTATATGTCTATATATATAACGTTCTTGTCAACTCATTGAATTTGCTAGGACAAATCGCATTCCTTCTTAAATTGTTTTCCTTAGTACGGAGTATTATTCTTCTTACTTTAAAGTTAAAATCATACATTCACAATTTCACATATAACTTCCTCGAGTTTTGCCAGGAGGACCCCAAAATGTACCTCATTTTTATTCCAATCCCTAATTTGTGATCATAAATGGACCAATTCATTTAAATGATGTCCTACTTAAATGAATTGCCCCATTTACGGTCACACATTAGGGGGTGATGCTAAAAATGAGATATATTTTGGGTACCTTTTATCATTTGTGAACTTCCTCTTCATACCGCATTCCCACTCCCTCTTAACCACCGCACCAAACTTCTCCTTCCTCAATCTTCATAATATCTCTGAGTTTTTCTCCATTCGTTAAAATGGCCATTCAGGCTGAGTATGGACTTCTATGGGACAATGTTGCATCTGCCGGAGGAGGGGGTAATGTTTCCTGTTTCAGCCCTCCTCCTCCTCTTTCTCAACATAATCACTTTCAACTTATGGATTTACCCCTTAACCTCGCCATCGCCCAGTTTGACAAGCAGAAATGGGATACAGATCGATTCATCTATTTACAGGTTGCTTAATCATATTTTGTTTAATAAATTTAATTCTCCAGTCAAAAACCGACTCCATTATCTATTTGGAACTCATCACTCATCAGGTTATTATTGTATTTTGTGTCGTTAATTCTGGAACAGAACGAAAGGTTGAAGGTTATTCTCGAAGAACAGAGGAAGGAACAGCTGATACTGATCTTAAGAAAATTTGAAGCGAAAACTAAAGGTCTATTCGAACAGAAGGATGAAGAGATAGCAGCGGCGATGAAGAGGACGGCGGCGCTTGAAGCCATACTGAAACGGCTGGAGATTGAGAAGCAGACGTGGCAGATGGCGGCGAAGGAGAGGGAAGCAACGGCGTCGTTTCTCGTAGGCAAGTTTGAGCGCTTGAGAGAGAGCATGTGGAATTCGTCGGGAAATAATAGTGCGGAAGATGCGACTTCATCATGCGGTGGTCGGCGGCGGCGGCACCACGGTGACGGCGATCATCATAATTTGTTGAATTCATCGTCGGTGGAATTAGATAAAGGGAGAATGATGATCTGCAAAAGGTGCAATGTGCAGGGATCGTGCCTAGTGTTTTTGCCGTGCAGGCACCTCTGTTCATGCAAATCGTGCGAGGCCTTGCTTGATTCCTGCCCCATCTGCAAAGTCCCTAAGAAAGTTTGTATCGAAGCCTACCTCTGATATAATCATTTCACTCACAAGTAAAATACGAGTAATTAATTATTTTAAGCAAAACTTACTCCGTATATTTTCTTGGTACAAAAGGTGGAATCTCCCACCCCAGGAGCCTCCCATACCCTGACCCGACAGGATTTTTGGGAGGAGTTTAATCACGGTGACTCAGTCGGCCCAGTAGGCCTTTTTCCCGTGCGCATCAGAAGTCCAGCCTTATTTCAGGTTCTGTGACTTCACACGGCCGCTGCGGGTTTTGAACCTTGGTCACTTGGTCCAAATTTTCCACCACTGAACCAACTGAGATACCCGTGCGGGTACTCCGTATATTTTCATCTCTTTTTGCAAGTGTAAAATTTCACTTTCCATTGTTGTCACTTCTAATTCTTGTTCGTAATGTTAAACTCGTCTAAGGTAAGAGAATAATTTATTCTTATTCGCGATCTCCCTACGTCATAAATATCACAGCTCAAGTCATTAAATCGTCCTTCAAATTCTCCCTCCTTCCCACTCGGAAATTTCCTCTTTCCTTTTCACCGGTCCAAAAAAGTTCCCGTTCCATTAAATGACAAGTTATCTACATCAAAACAGTATCAAACAGTGTCAAAACAGTAACTCCTATTTAGTTTATTTCTTATTATGGTGTGTAAGTCAAACTTGGAACTTCTTAGCGGAATGGAGGTAGTACAAGAAAACTCTCCGCATCAATGTAATGAGTTCTGTAAAACTTTGTCTTTTTTGTCTTTTTATTTGTCCAAAAAAAACTCATCAATTTCTAATCATTTCTCTAATTCTCTCGACGTTTCTTTAAACTTGACAACATTTGACTGACATGAAAATTAATAAATTAAAAACTGTGTTATTGAGATTTGTGTAGAGAGTAAAAAAAAATTATCTGGAATCACAAATTCTTTACTTGAAAGGGCAAATGACTGAAATAACTAGAAAATGAAAATGGACAAAGTTTTAAGAGACTGAAGTGAATGTTATCATTTCTAATTAAAAGTACTGGAAATGGCTTTTGTTAATGGGGGTAAAAATATTGATAAGTATAAACATAAAATAGTACGCTCCTCGCCCCGTTTTGATTCTCATCTTTCATTTTTTGATCCATTCTACTAAGATTATTCTATGTCAAATTTGGTCACATTTGTATTGTTCGAAATCATTTCTATTTTATTCTTACTTTCGTAAATTAACTTTTCCGTATAATCAATTACCTCCGTATATCTCAATATTAGTGAGACCAGACCTATCACCTACTTCCTTCGTCCCTTAAAACTTTGCCATCTTTCCTTTTTGGGACGTCCCAAAAAATTTTGACACTTTTCCTTTTAATCAATTATTGTGTGGTTTCTATTATCTCTCTCCTCTACACAAACTTCAACCACACAATTTTTACTTTATTATTCTCCGTATCAGTCAATTTGACAAAGTTCTAAAGGAGGAAGGTAGTATGTACTGAATGAAACCGATCACATAGACACTAGGTTGGTATGATTGAGCATACATAACAAAGGAAATGGATGACAGATAGAGGAGGTGGAAATAGGGAAAGTGAGGTGCGGAAAGTGAGGAGTGGGGTGGGGATGATGCTGGCTGCTGATGCTCTTGTGATTTGATTATTCGTAGAAATCGTATCAGACCCATTCAGTACTCTCTTCCGTACACGCTCCCCACCCTCTTTTACACCCTCACGCAAATGAGTCCGGCTTTGTGTACATTCTTCCACATCAGAAAGTTTTTTGATATGAAGTATTCCTCCGTCTTAAAAACTACCTCACGGTTTGTTTAAGAAAATAAATTCGACTTTACCGTGGAGTGTATTGTTTTGCATTGTTTAAACATTTTTGACATTGTTTGACACTGTTTAACACTGTTTTGATGTTGGTAATTTATCAAATAAGGAAAGTATTGAAGTGTGAAATTAATTTTGGAACATCCATTTAAGGAAAGTGGGGAGTTGTTTTTGGGACATAGGGAGTTACATGATAAGAAATTTCAAATTTTGCTCACCCATAATTGATACTCACTCCGTTCCAAAATTATCTTCATAGTTACTATTCACACGGTCAACTCAAATTACTCTTAAACTTTTACGTTATATATTAAATTTTTATCAAACTTAAATTTTCTTGATCAACCTTTGTAGCGGATTTAATGTAGTTTCCGAATATGTAAATTTCATTTACTAAAAATAATCTGAGTGTGAACACGGATCAAATTACTTTATCGTCAGTCAAGCATCGTAAACCAAACTACGACGATAAATATGGGACGGAGCGAGTATGAAAAAAGAAGCTAAGATATGCATGGGAATAAAATGTGAACAAATACGTAGTACTAGGTATGATATAAATACATATATCCATGTCGATATAAAAATGGCCCAAGTGACGGTCAAAATCATGGATGACCGTTGTCTTTAGTTTTCATGCCACACTATTTTCACTTTTCATGCTGTTCTCCATGTGCAATATTTTAAAGTAGCCTTTAATTTATGCTAAAATGTCTAACCAAATGACATTTTGTTGAACGCTCGGTTATTATGTTAAGATCATGTATTGAACATTTTGGAATCCTCTTATCACGTTGGCTTTTATGATACAACTCAACTCCCTTTTATCTTAAATAAACTTCATACACTGATTTTACTTTTTTTAGAAAGTAGAATTTTGGCTTTTGTCATTCACATCAAACCCCATAAAGTTTAATGGGAGACAGAAAGTCACCGTAAAGTATATAATAAAGTAAGAATATAAAGGTAATTTTATATTAAAAATTTGTCAATTGAAATTTATTTTGGACCTATCTAAAAAGGTAACTGTGAGGTTTATTTGAAACAGAAGAAGTAATAAACTAATAAAGTACATTACCTATATATACTAAGATCTTCGTCTATTATTCTTTTTAGGTTGAGTTTTTATGATAAAACACATAAAACACATAATTTTCTTATTTCTAAGAGCATCTTCAATACTAAAACGTTAACGGTGCATACGTGGCATGAGAGATAGCCAATGAAAAAACAATAAATAGATTATCTCTCTCCTTATTTGAAGGATCTTGTATCATTTTGGTAAGTTTTTCTTCACAATGTCAAGCACAATGCGTAGATGTAGACATTGTGATTGACATTGCAAGGAAAAAGTTACCAAAAACACATAAAACCGTGGAAAGATGGAGAGAGAAATGTCATAAAATCAAACTTTTGTGTTCATCTCTCTCATGCCACATGTGTCCATCTCGAGTATTTATTTTGGAGCCTATGAGACGCCCCCCATACATATAGGGAGAATAATTAATTATCTTTGGTCGAATAAAATATTTAGGTGAGACAAGTAACAACTCACAAGTAGTCTTCAAGACTCGAAGGAGAGGTGAAATTGAGTGAGGTGTGTGGTGGATTATTCTAATTTCTGAGCCATTTGGTGGAGAGACCGGTGGCCGGTGCCGGCCGACCCAACAATTCTGAAATCCAAGGAATAGAATTGCGTTTACGTTTAAAAAATATGTGGGCTCATTAAAGAGCTAATTGTTCGATTGAAAGTTGCTGGGAAGAGGTAAACAATGTCAAGGGCATAAATTAAAGATAATAATAGTTGGAGATTGAGAAGTAGAGAGCACAAAGATATTACTTGTGAAATTATGATTCGCCAAGTAGAGAACACTTCGAGATTGAGAAATAAATAGTTGAATTTATCGAAATTGGTGAAATTATGGTTGAATGTGCTCAACCATTGGTGAAAATTTACTAGTATGAAAGTTGCTAAAATAGTCCTCTTAAGCAATTTAATTAATTAAGTTATAAAGTAATTTCAACTTCATCATATTGATTATTACACGATGAATAACACAAGTTACAAACTTATGTACACAGTACGCATAAGATATACACCGTATGTGTGTGTTCGGTGTAAGGCATAGGATGATCTATGTGCTAATCAATTGCGTGGAGCTCGACTTCGACTTAGATCGAGTCGTGCTTCATAAAAAACAATTGCCTTTAATTTTCAGATGATGGAAGATGTCGTTCACAATGTTGTGCCAAATATGTGGTTTTCACCGTTTCCGAAACTATTATACTCCAAATCTTTAATGCACACTTTTCCACGTACATGACTTGATGTACACAGGCAATTGGTTAAAAATAGGCAGAATTTGATGTCAAATTGTCCGTGTACACAGAGAATGTACAGATTTTGTGTACATCTTGTGTACATCAAGAATGGTCCCTTTTCCACTCACTTAGGTTAGCTCATTAAAATAAGATTTGATGTTTGTACACAAGGTTTACACATCATCTAAACCTAAATATTTAACAATTTCATTCTCTCACTTTTTCTCTTATCCTTTCTCTTTTCCCACTTTCTCCCTTTTCTTCTCTTTTTCTAATATTTGCACAAAATCAACCTAAAGTCATGGACATTTTTCAGATGCTACTCTCCATGGCATCTCGAAAAAGTTCTTTTAATTAATTTCTGAAAAACTATTAAAAATTGTCATGTCAAACATATAACTAGAAGCTTTTAGAGATTTTTTTAATATTACAAAAACTAGAAGGCAGAGACTTATGCCCGTCAATCATAACCTTAGTGGCTCGTCAACTAGATCATTCTTGCATCTACAAATTAAATATCCACCACAAAATGTCATATATACTTCTTATACATATTTATGGTGAAATTCTTCTCCGAGCTCTAGTCTGAAGGGCAATGATATGTGAAAATCAAATCCAATTTACAAAAACTTGAAGGAATTACGTGTTTATGATTGTTATTCATACAAGAATTAATTTCACTTTTAGTCTTATGAGTTGTATATCAATTTCACATTTAATCAATGTATTTCATTTTATCCACTTTTGATATTTGACTAATATTTCTTGTTCAATTGTGGTTCTTTTTGAGCGATTTTAACTAACTAAAATATTAATAGAAGCACCATATACGAGCAAAAACTCATGCACTCATGCATCAAAACTTATCAAAATATATGATTATGCAAAAATTGAATGCACCAATTTCACACATTCTGAACATGCCACAGGGCTGGGCATATTATTTTCTGCACTAGCGTTTATGGACCAGTAAAGGCGTGTGGGGTTGACAGCATGCTAGGCAATTTGACATAGGACATGTGGCGTGATGAGGCCTTTTTTTACTCCCTCCGTCCATTATTATAAACTTGTGTCGTTGAGAATTGTGTGATGGAGAATTGTGCAGAAGAGAAAGAAATGTGTGAGAATTGTTGTGAACCACAAATTTTGGTTAAAAAGGGAAAGTGGGAGTTTTAATTGAGACGGACGAAAAAAGAAAGTTGGAAATTTATTCAGGGACGAAGGGAGTATCAAATATGAGTGAGAGGAAGCCCTTTTCAAGGTTTTAGTTGCTCCTTATTTTATGTGATGAATAGACTAGAGTGCTAGCCCTTTGTTTATGTGAAACCGTACAGCCAACGCAACATCTAGGGCCTGTTTGATAATGGCTGCAATGACGGGAATGAAAATGTTTGATAATATGTTGGTTGGTTGAAATGACTGATTGAATCTAGAATTCCTATAAAGGGAATTAGTTTATTTGTGTTAAATATATGGATAGGAGCTTTGTTAGCAAATAATTTTTGCTTGATTAGATAATTATTATAAGATTACTTAATTTACTGATTACTTTGGAAACTTTGCTCTTACTTTTACGTTGAAAATATACCAGTATTATTTTAGCCCTTATACATGTTGTACAGTGTTATTTATAGCTGTTAGTTAGCTATTAGA